AGCCCCAAACCTCGGACCCAAACTCTAAACCCCAGGCAAAGAATCCCTAAACCCTAAACCCTAAACCCTAAACCAAACCCCAAACTAAGAAAGCCATATCCCGGAAAGCTTTGGCAGTTACGGAGTGGGTTTAGGATTTCAGGTCGTAGCAACTCTGTTCTGATCCAATCTGCAGATGTCCCGTTGGGTAAAGCCTGTGAGGGTTTAGGGTTTAGGGATCGCGGAGCAAACATGTAGTAGTTTTCACCCGGCATGTGCGGTCGTCACCAGAATTTTCAAGCAGAGTGCCCAAGATTGGGGGGGCATCTACCAACAAGGCTCTTGTTCGCCTTACCCAATCTTGTGCAGAGCACGAGTGCTGCGAACCTCCTGTCGGGCCGCGTGCAACACGTGTTAGCTCGGGTTCTCGCTACCAATTTTGCTTCGTCGCTAGTTCAATTGACGAAGAGACTCTCCATGTTTCTGCGAACCTGAGATGCAAATTGCCTCTGCTCACAGTCCATACCTCATTAAACTTGAGGCTCAACTTTCTTGCAACGCAACTGTCTAACTTGATGCAGAAAAGTCGATCTGCCAGCACATCTCCAGCTCACGGCAGTGGCAAGTCTACGAGGGTTGGATTCTCAATTGAAAAACGCCTGCGTCCAGCAGTGGGGCTGATAGAGCTTGCCCTTTTCAGGGACAATCACAACCAGGACCATTTCGAAATGGGCAAACTTGATGGTTTGCCTTGCCGCTTACACACTGCAGGCACGGGCTCAGGGGTCGTGACATGTCGTGGAGCATCTTCTATGTTATGTGGCGTTTCTCACCCATCCTTGAAGCAAAAAGCTCGCAGCACATTACCGGGAGCACCTGCGTGGAATCGTCAAGCAGTGACCCAACTCGGTCCTGCTTCTGGCTTTACCCTGGCTGCTAAACGGAACCACTAGGCGTACGACTTCTGGTGTTGCTGTCTGTCCTGTGTGCTCCTTGCTATAAGCCGAGACGGCACGTAGATTTCAGCCTAGCAGCCTGTCTTCCGCAGTATCTTGCGATGGCAGCTTTCAAGGCGTGAAAGCAGACTACTGTGTGTCGCGCGATGGCTGTAAACCCTACAGCCCAACCCTGACGCATGTCACGCCTCTTTCTGTGAGGCTCGGGCTTCTCCAGCTGCGAATGCCGACACGGCGGCCGCTGTCCACCCCGACACTGCGCTGTGCCTCTTCCAAGTGTAGGTGGTCAGGAATAAAACCTTCAGGGTCCAGGGCTTGGGTTTCAAGGTCCGCTCCAGGTACTATTTCATGCAGTGGTATCAACCGGCGTTTGCTAGTGCCAGAATTTGCATGCTAGCCGCCCAGGTTTTCTTGCTAGTAACTCTACCAGTAGACGAAATATACTTTTTCTAATCACGAGATCCAGTATGTTACATGCCACCGTCATTCTCAAAGCACAAACCCCAAGCCGTCAAATCCTAAGCCAGAAAACTGCGGCCAAAACCCAGCCCTGGACCTCATAAACCCTGTTACCACCATCGGTCATCGGCAAAGCCACTGTAGTCTTACAAACCCCGTTTGTCGTGTCTCAGGAATGAAGCTGTAGCCACGAGCTAGCTAAGTGGAGGCCAAAAGCAACGGGAGACCCTGACCCAGGCTCCTGTCGACTATGCGGCACCACCATGATCAGCTGCTTCTCAGTCGGACAAGGCTTCCCGGCTCCTACACTTGAGGTGTTCGATGCTACAGTCGAGTTATCTTTCTGGAGGTAATCTGGGGTAGGGGCCCGGATGCTGAGCTTGGGCAGCATAGGGCGCAGGTTTTGGGGGTACGAAGTATCATCCCACCAGACAACACGGAATGGTCGAGTGGACGTAGATGCCCGGATGAGGAACCTCACTTCTGTGTTATAGTGGCTGTAATGGCTTAGCGGGGGTATGTTTGCAACATTACTTTAGGATGTGTGTTCTCTTTGTCTCCCGCTTGATCAGGCATGTGTTTGATTGTTTTCGACCGCAGGGCTTAATGCCAAAGCCTCAGCGAGTTTCATCTGAGGACAAACTCTCCTGCACAATCACGTCTCGATTTGAGTCCCAGAGCATCACCAGCGGAAGCAAACAGAATCTCGGCACTAACAGCTGGGATAATCGCCAATGCTGCCACCGGCTTATCGTCAAGACGCAGCACCTGGTTTAAGTCGAGCTGGCCTAAGAACCTTTAGTGAAGTGGACCTGGAAGTGGCTGACAACGCATGTTTGACTTCAGGACTTTTGTCGCGAAACTTGTGCGGTCTCGTGACAAATCACCGCTCACATTCCATCATATTCCACTCGATTTGCTACAGTACGTGAACAAGGACGAACGAATCCTCCACGGTGCAGTCTGCGAGGATCCAAGTCCTCCCACCGAAAACAGGCCCAAATACTATCGCGCGCTTCTACAGCCACCACTTAATTTCTAACTCGGTGCGAAGCAGGCGTATCACCATGTGGTGTGGTCCAGCATTCCTGCGCTTGCAGCCTTTGATCTTCATGTTAGGAAGATACAGGCTGAATGCTGAAGTTGTTCGTTTTCCTCACGGCACAGGCGAGTGCCATGATGGTTGCAGTTAAAGTAAAACGAAGCTGCCCGACCATGCAACTCCTGCAGCGTCTGGCTGGGACGTGGGACATGGGGTTCAGGGCGTACCTAGTCAAATTGGAAAAGCTGCTTGAGGTGACTTTGCTGCTTCCTCGCCAATCTCTCCAACTGCAACTTTAGCAACACGTGAGGAGGCGTTCCGTGTAACCTTGCGCTCCTACACCGAGGAGGACCGATGACAGACGGTTCCAAGTGGGCTAGTTGCCGTAAAGTGCATGTGGGTAGTTCTCTAGATTAGGGTGCCTTTTTGGATCCCCAAAATAGAACGGTACCCTTATCAAAAAGGCTACTAAACGGGACCCTATTTTAGAAACCTACCCGCATGGTGCTGCAGAAGACCAGGGCCATACCAGGAGTTACGGGCGCTCCAGGCTTCCTGTCCCGATGCGTTCGTTGTCATACGGTTCATGCTAGAAGACAGTTCTAGTACCAGCAGGGTACTCAGATGCACATATAATACATAATTATATAGTGTGTATATAGATATATATACATGTATGTGCATATATCTGTATACACAGAAAACACGGCTGTCAGCTATAGTTGTATGAGGATCCTATCTTATAGGTCACTCAAAATGGCGAAAGTCTTAGATCCAATACTGTTCCTTGTTTTATTCCGCAGTCAACAAGAAGAGCAGGGGCGCCTTCTGTGAGAAGTCACGGTTTAGGGTTGAGGGCTTAGGGTAACAAACCCTGAGCTCTTGACTGACTTGCTGAGCTCGTTTTTGCCTGCCCATGCTAGAGGATTTTCTTGGCCCTGAAGCGCTTTATGCAGACTACTAAGTACCCACATGCCTCACAGCCCCAAATTAATCCGAAGTGAAGCCCTGAGCTCTAAACTAGACTTTACATGGAAGACTTTACCCAAAACTTTACGTTCTATACACCCTATACCGGCCTGCACCCTTACTGTCCTACAGAACCCCACTTTGGGCTACTCAACTCCGGCGAACACAAAGTCCGAAACGCAAAAGCCCTAACACCGCGAACTGTTAAAGCCTAAACCTTGAAGCCGCATACAGCTTAAAACTTAGCATAGTATGTAGAGCCCTTAACCCATAAAGCTTACTCGTAGAACACGAACCTACTTAGAACCCAGAGGCCAGAACGCTGACCCCAAAAGGTGGAACGTAAATCTCTTCAAACCTAACCCCCGAAACTCTTCTTTAGCGAGATGCGGTTTGGCGAGGACACGCAGTTACGCACCGAAGCCGTGCAGAGATCGCAAGAAGCATACATGATGGCGGTTTGAATCCCAGGAGGCTTTATGGTGTAACTCTTCACAGGGACTCATGGTTTTGTTGCCTTTGTGTGGCTAAAGACCAAACTGTACCAGGTTCGGGGCCATTGTGAGCCTTATAAGGGAGTGACTAGTTAAGGATGACGAGAGGGGACCATCCGGAAGCACAGGAAGTGATATAAGCGGTTTCGGTCATACGCGTGGTTATTTATAGTTTGGGATATGGGTTTTGGGTCTCGTGAGGCTTGTATCAAGGTCTGTCTCTGGGGTTTAAAGTCTCACGGTTGAGGGGAAGTTTATCTAAGCATTTACCGGAGTTGGGTGCTTCCTGGCCCTATGTCAGGTTGTAAATCCCCGGGAATGTAGCGACAACCATATATGTACTGAGGTTCCGTGAAGTTTATGTGCATGTGTATCTATGTTCGTGTGTCCATAGCGAGCACTTAGTGCACGCTGTATGCACTCCCGTATGACCACTGCTGGTATGCAATATCTCCCTGTGCGTAAATCGCAGATTCTTCATACTTTTCGTGGTCCTGAGACTAGGGATGCTATTGTTGTCGGATTTGGCGACCCTCACGGTCTGAAATTAGTTCTACCACTCTGTATGATCTCGTCAGTCTTGACTCCATTATGTTAATTAGGTGGGGCTCACATCGATGAAGCTGCAAAGATCCCCCCGGCCCAGCTGACACACAGCAGATAAGTTGGGCTTAATGGTCTTAAGCAGTGCAACGACGTAGTAATTATACTCAGAACAATCTCTAGTTCCCATAGAACAGGACGGTGACGCCGGGTGAGCAGCATGGGTTGGCTGGGACATGCATGTCCTTATGAGCCTTTTTTCCTCTAAACCCTGAAGCCGTAATCTCCGGCTACATGCTTGAATGACCATTGCCCAAGGTTTAGGATCTAGGACATTTTCAGGTGGGTAGTGGGTAGTTACCGTTATAGGAGCCTTATAGAAGGTCTATATATGGAAGCCTTATAGAAGCCCTATATACCCTAAACTCCCCACCTGTAGATTCCTCTAATAGGAGTTTGGGCTCAAACCGCCGAGGACCAGGCTGAAACCCTAAACCCTAAACCCAAGGCTTAGGAGTTTGGGCTCAAACCGCCGAGGACCAGGCTGGCTCTGTCACGATGCGGAAGCGGTTTTCAAACCAGACGACTTCGCCGTGCAAGACCAGGCCAAGTTTGTCCTTTCAGCTATACTATGTCTGTGTGTGTGTGTGTTTGTGTTTCTCTGCATTTGTTTGTGTGTCTTAGTGTGTTATACTGTGTGTGTGTGTATACCTCTGCGTGTGTATCTCTGTGTGTGCCTCTGTCGGTGCGTGTGTGTGTGTGTGTGCGCTTGTGTTTGTTTGTCTGTGTGTGTGTGTCTTTGCGTGTGGGTATTCCGTTGTTGCATTAGTGCTATCGTTTCCTTTCCCTGTAGATGACAAGATTATTCTCACCCGTATGGAGTGGCCAAAGTGTTCCACGCACCTTCCTGACAATAGAGTCCCGGCCATCCAGGCTGGAAGAAGAGAGGCGTCCATGGGCTACTCGAATCGTACACCACCCTGGTTTCGATGTGTTCTTTGCGTTAATCGTCATGGCCAACGCGATATTTATAGGTTTTGACATCCAATGGGTCTTAGATGGCGGAGCCTTGGATGAGAACGGTCAGGAAACAAGGACAAGGCCGGTGAGCTACATGGTCTGCCACTATATCTTCTCTGCCTTCTTTCTAGCAGAGTTGGTTCTGCGACTGATGGCTAGCCGCTGTCGATACTACTGCTCTGAAGATTGGGGATGGGCCCTTTTGGACACACTCATAGTAGCCACGTCCTGGTGGGACATTTTTGTGGAACTGGCAGAGGCACTTTTGCAAGATGACCGTTGGGACAGCATCTCCGGGCTGTCAACATTGAAAGCCATGCGAATTGTTCGCTTGACTCGTGTTCTGAAGACGGCTCACTTTCTACGGATATTTCGGTTCATCATGGCCCTGCGGATGTTGGTGCAGTCAATACTACACACCGTTAAGGCTCTGTTTTGGGCATTGCTCCTGCTCGGCCTGATCATATATGTGTTTGCTATACTCTTCGCGCAGGCAGTTTATGACTATCGTGTCGATTCAGCAAATCCAGCATTGCCAGAAGAGGTGCAGATTGCATCCGATCGTTACTTCGGCACGCTCATTAGAAGCATGATCGCTTTATTTATGAGCATAGCTGGTGGAGTCAGCTGGGAGGAGGTGATCAAACCGCTCATGTGGGTGTCTCCCTTTTGGGAGTGTTGCTTCCTCTTTTTCATCGCTTTCTCGTACCTGGCCGTGTTGAATGTTGTGACCGCGGCATCTTTGCTGTCCAGTCAGGCAAAGTTTGGTTCTAAGTTGTGGACGTGCGGCTAGGCGGCTAGGTCTGTTGTACCCAGTTGGTTCCCGAGAAGTGGGGACAGAGCATCAGGTCTTCTGCCAGTCGGCGATCGAGTCAGCACAAAGTGACCACGCGACAGTGGTGCAAAACATGTTGGACAACAAGGCTGGATCGGCTTAGTGAAGTTGTTTTGGAACATCCTTGATCTAGGGTGAAGAGTCATCGTGTTATCTGTAAGCATCTCCAAACAACTTTTGAAGCAGGTCTGTAGCGAAACCCGCGGCGTGCCGGATTGAACATGACTTGCAAGGAGCAACATCTGCAAAAGCTGAGAGCCTTGTTTGAGAAAATCGGTGACCAGTATGTTGGGGGGATCACTTTCCCGATGTGGCTCGGCCTCATCTGCGCTGTATACGATTTTCACATAAACTGTTCTTTTTAAGCGGCTGAAATCGCGATTGCCGGTTGAAGGTGTGAATCTGCAGGGCGTGGCTCCCCTTGTCCTTGAGTCTGCTCCCTGGGCTAGGTAGCGGCCTGCCATGTCGGACGTGCTCTACACATGCTAGATAAGTTCTCAGTTTGCTTGAGCCGAAAGGGCTTGTCATATGTCTAGTTCTGGATACTCTCAAACCTTATAAGCCTTGAGCGACAGTTTGCCAGTGACACCCTAGCGGGTCCCTAGAACGGTACCTGACATGCGAGTTTTTGAGCATGCGGATCCCAAAAAGAAGGTTACAGCTGAGATCCTGCTATGTATATCGTTGCTTGTCAGGTCCATAGTTTCTGAATCTCCTTCTAATCCATATGCCCAATTAAACACCCCCAAAATAGAAGGATTCTCAAAGCTAAGCTACCCCTGACTCGCAGAACAACATCCCATAGCAGAAATGTTCCTAGCAGTGGTTCTTCTTCTTGGCTTCAGGTTCCAGGAGAAAATAGACTCCCCAGCAGTCCGCGAGTATTTCGAGACGCTCGGATTAGACGTGTGGGACCCATGGGCTTTCTTCAAGCCACTCGGCTGCGCGTTTTTAGGTGTTTAGGGCTGAGGGCCTATAAACTCCAGACATGTTGTTCGTTCCGTCCTCTCGTGGCCTTGACGAAAAGTTCCCGTTTGGACTGGCACCCTCGCTGTGGTGTTGAGATTCCGCCTTCGCCTAAAACGAAAGTGTCCGACCTGCGATGTTGACTCCATTTTGCCCGCCAGATTCACTGTGGATGCTCCCAAACCCACTGGGTCGACCTGGCCATCTGAAGCTTCAAATGCCCAGACCCGACATGCAAGAAGTCAAGAAGCTTCTTCGAGCCCGGCTCTGTGAGCCACACCCGAAATCCGAAAGACCACGTTTGCAGGTTCGGTGTTCATCAAAACAGCCCAAGCCTGACAGTAGGCGTTCCTGAGGGCATGTAGTCGGGAAGCCGCAGCATTGCGCGCCTATTTTCGGCCTTCGACCATACAAGTAAAGAAGTCTGACAGCTATCTCAAGCTTCTGATGCTATATCTGGATAGTAAGCAAATTAGCACTTTCGTGAAGTCAGTAGTAGTCGTAGTTGTGGTGGTGGTGGTGGTGGTGGTGGTGGTGCTGGCGGTGGCGGTGGCGGTGGTGGTGGTGGTGGTGGTGGTGCTGGTGGTGCTGGTGGTTCTGGTGGTGCTGGTGCTGGTCCTGGTGCTGGTGCTGGTGCTGGTGCTGGTGCTGGTGTTGGTGCTGGTGCTGGTGCTGGTGCTGGTGGTGGTGGTGGTGGTGGTGGTGGTGGCGGTGGTGGTGGTGGTGACAGCCCGTAGTCGCAGTGGCCGTAGGAGTCGTAGTGGTAGTGGCGGTGGTAGTGGTGGTGGTGGTAGCAGCAGCAGCAGAGCGGCAGCAACAGTAGTAGCAGGAACAGTAATTAGTTAGTAGCAGGAACGTAATTAGTAGTCGTAGTCATCGTCGTAGTTAGTACCCAGTAAATCGTAGCTAGTAACAGCTAGTAGTCAGTAGATAGTAGGTGGTAGTTGGTAGTTGGCAGCTCGTAGCTAATAGTTGGTAGTTAGTAAGAATTATTAAGTAGTTAGTAATTATTTAGTAGCTAGTTAAGTAGAGTCAGTAGTTAGTGAGTAGTTCGTGGTTCGCGGTTAGTAGCCAAGGCTTCTGGATGCTGATGCGGGTGGCGTGGTAGAGTTGGAAGAATTCTTTTTGGGGTGCCTGCGCTTCGGCGGCAACGCGACTTGGCTTAATTAAGGCTTAGAGACATTCGGATGAGTGCTGGGCTTGGGTGCGGGGATTGGAATTTCAGCGGTAAAGTTTTCGAGCCAGCTACGTACATCAGACAAACATAGCAGTCTGATCAAGAGTTTTCGTCGCACATGGTGGCCAAATGCTTAAGAACTCATTGGATGCGACTGTAACTTCAGTTTCAGTCATCCGTGTGCAGTTCTGCCGGGATCCGTGGGAGATCCCCAGGCTACTGCCATGGAAGTCGGCCAGCTAGCCCGTGACCAGAGGTGCCGGTGTCGGGCCTGATGTAGACCAGGGTTTGTGGCTTTTGTCTGTATTTTGCACACATGTAGATGTGTACAGCGCTTGCAGAGCCTGTGGTACAGTGCCCAAGCTGGCGAGGATTGATAAGCGGTCCAAAGCTGTTTGAGGCATGCGTACATCTTTCCGAGTCCGAAGCTGTGCGCCATGACCGAGAGTTGCTTTGCCTGCCAGGTGGCTGATCAGAAGCCAGGGTCGATTCCAAAAGCTGGTCGTCGCCTGTCCTGGCATTTACTTTCCATTCGATAAGACCATGTTTTGCAAAGTGGGGTGGTGCGCAGCAGGAGGTCGTAAGGTCTGTCGACTGTGGAGCAGCGTTTCATCGACAACTTCATGTCGAAACATTGCAAGTGACCGCAGACTGTGGGTGTCGTCCGGGCTGTCAAGCTTTCGGTCCAAGCTCTTCTTGGTTCATTGAGTTCATTGATCAGTGTTTGGTACCACATGCCGGTTCATAGCACTTCCACTACAACGAGTATACGGTTAGCTTCACACATAGCTTTAGGCCTTAAAAGTCGGGAGACACTTTAGCAGGCTTACCAGGAGCAATATTGTCTTCTTGGGAAATGCACCATCCATATACTGGCAGTGATGATCATTGTCATGCTGCTGTTGATGTGGCCGTAATGATACAGCAAGGATGTTGATGAGGATGACTCTGTTCTTGCGCATATCACGTTGTCAGTCTGGTTTTGCAAATCGCTTGGTGAAGGTGTGTATCCACAGGCATGTCCCGAGGAAGCAACACCAAAGCGGTTTTATGGCACTGTTTCATTTCGCACGATGCAAGATCAGACAATTAGTCCTCATGCCGTTCTGCCTAAACTGAGAAGTGCTTGCACTTTGTTTAAGTGGCGGCAGTTGCAGCGGGAGCCTGCAGGGAAATTTAGGAGCCCAGGAGAACGAGCTCTGCTGGACCAGGGAGAACATCGCCTCTTTGGCCAACGCAGTCTGTGCTGCCACAGGCGGTGTTTGCTCAAACGAACTTTAAGGATCTGCTTTCGAGGATCCAGTCTCACTGATTTTCAGACGAGCCACCTTAGAATCATGATATACGCAGCATGTGCATTTGCGGTTCTATGGGGTTCAACCGATGAATGGTTCGGACTCGTCGCCATCTTTCATGAGAGAGTTCTGTCTTGTGCAAATCGTGGCCGCGATCTGCTCATGTGGTAACTGCAAAGCAGACGAGTGGTCCGGCTCATGCAATGTGGCAATGTATATACGCAGCCGACTGTGGGACTATAGGAACCTTGATAAAAAGTCCGATACATCACCATGCGACCTCTCGTACCATCATGAGCATCAGCACCGCCGTGAAGCGGAGCGGGGCCTCCAATAAATCTCCGAACTTCTTGGGCCTCGATTCTTCCACCATGCCATTCCGTGCAAGGTAACAAAGTATGTATGCAGCAGTTGACAATCGAGGTGCGTCACGAGCATTATTTATTTGATGCCTGTTGACCTGGTGGAAAATATGATGGTCTCTCAAACTCGACTTCACAAGCCGTGCACCAGTTCGCTCTCCTCCAGGTTGTGGTTCGTATTGTTCCTCCTCCTCCTCGTCCTCCTCCGCCCCTGCTTCCCTCCGTGGTCGTAGTCGTAGTGTTGTGGTGGCGGCGGAGGTGGTGGTGGTGTTGGTGGCGGTGTTGGCAGCGGTCGTCGTCGCAGTATGTAAGTAATGTAAGTAGTCGTCCTAGCAGCAGCAGCAGCAGCAGCAACTAGCAACAGTAGCAGTGGAAGCGAGTAGTAGCAAGTAGTGCTGGCGGGGGCTTTAGTCGGAGTGGTCGTGGAAATAACAATGCCGCAATATTCTCACAAGAACAGTAGCAGCAGCAGCAGCAGCAGTAGCAGCAGCACAAGCTAAAACAGCGAGACGCATAATGCCGTAAGGTTAGGCAGGGTGTGTTTCGAGCATTGCTTTTCATACTTGATACGATTACTGACTGTGTCAGCAGCAAAGGCGCTTGTGTGGTTCTATCAGCACGATCTAAACCGATGTCACGGTGAGCGCCATGCACCTCATCATCGCCGTCATCATCTTCAGCACCATGTATCGTCTGCATCATCCGAATCACTGGTCGTCGCGAATGTCGCCACCATCCTGCGTTTCAAGTATGGCAAATCGTGCAACAGGATCATTGACACTGTTGAAAGGTGACAGTGCTGAGGAAAGCATGCATGTGCGCTACATGATCTGCAGGTGTTTTGTGTCGGAGGCAACACATCCATAGCACATGCGGGTCCAATCACATCGCAGCCGCCTTGTGGTGCAATGACAGCCAAGGCACGGTCAAATTAGGCTCAGGGCTCCAGGTAGCGGTAGCAGGTACTGGAGGGGATTTTGAGCACTGGGGTTTGCCCGACAAGTACTGTCACGTCTGCGTCTGTGTGCGCTAGAGCAACAGTTCTCTGGCAGGATGAATCGTCCGACATTCGTGAGGATGCAGTGCCGGTCTCTTTCCAACCAGACACGGAGCTGCCGCTTTGGCGAAGTTCATTGTTCAGCCGCATTGTTTCGGCAACCGTCGAATCCAGTGACGCCGGTTGAAAAAGAAAGCGCATCATTTGGATGAGGTTGCTCAAGACCATGCAGAGCCACCATGAGCAGCTGATGGACCGTCTGGACCAGCAAGAGAAGCTACTGAGGCAAGAGGCGTGGCTTGGCCAGCGGCTAGCTGAACGTCATCGAGATGCCCACACTTGCGCATATCTGGGTGCACATGCATGCCAAGGCAAGACATAACATCGGCAACGTCTCCACAAGTCTTCGTGAGACTTGGCTCCAGTACGGTTCTACGCTTGCCCCATTATTCGTACGAAGCAGAGCTTGGAAGTGCAAGCCCGGATCTGTCTTGGACTGGCCGCGTCAGATCTTTCTCAAATATGCAGCAGACATGTTGTCTTGATCTTCAGGTTGGATCCAGGGTAAGTTGGAGCATGTCAGATTCATCCTTGCGCCAGGCAGGTCTCGTTCGTGCATTTTGACAAGCTTTGGAGCCTGCCAGGAAGTCACAGGAAGACAAGAATGACAATAATTTGATAGTCAAGCCTGTCGGAAGACGAGTTTGCATCTAGCTCGGCGCGTCTCCGTCTGTGTAGGCATCTATCTGTCTAATGTCTGTCTGTCTATCTACCCATTTGTCTGGCCAACTATCTATCAGCATTAACATCTGTACGTAGACGGTATCTATAGCTGTAGCTTATTGAATATATGTCGTGCTTATCTGTTTGTGGCACTATATAAGTGCAATGATGCGGGAAGTGCAAGCTTGGAGGCACTGATTTTATGGGTTGTGGGTGGTTTTGTACTCCATTATATCTCATTTCGTACTGTACATGGCGCTGACATGTTATGTACTGTGTTCTGAATATACGCATAGACGTCCATATACATATTTAATGAATTAGTGTAAACGGACATGTCAGCGCTCTATATGGAGTCGCACCCGGTCGCTTCCCAGATGAAGAGATTGACAGCAAGCCAGGTGATATTGTGAAAGTCTGACCTGCTTACACAGCAGGGGCGTCGTAGAGGTTGGTGGCAGGGAAGCAGACGGGCAGTTTCTCTCGGAAGTTGCAAGTCGATCTGATCAAGCTTGTCATCCTGGTGATAGAAAGCCATTCGAAAGTCCTTTCCATGGGAAGATAAGGACCTCAGAATCCGGCAGTCTCCTTGCTTCAGTGCAGCCAGAGCCGCACTACATAGGCCCGGGTGTGTTCGGAAGTTGCAGCATGCACTATGTCTCTTGGTTGCTTCCTTCTTGTCCCTGATGACCCTCAACAAAGTGGGGGCGGTCGGCGGTCGTCCTTGCCCTTTATGGTCCGGCAGCCGAAAATCTTGGTGCGCAACCCTAAGCCCGAAATCCCCCAACCTATAGGGTTTACTGACTGTACGGCCCAGGTTTTAGTGTTGGGCTTTTGTAGAATGCGGCCTCAGCTGAAATCGTAGTAGGCCGGACTAGGTGCGAGGACATAGTGAATGCCGTCAAGCTTGTGGCTGCGACAGAAAGCTTCCTGTAAGCTCCAATGCACAGTAGTGCTGCTCGAAGCCCTATCCCTAAACCCTAAACCCTATCAGATCGCGGATCAGAGCAGGGAACGCGGCACCGGGCATTTTGTCAGCGAGAATCGCGAGAAGCGAAGTGCCAAGCTTGCTCCATGCCGGCATTGGAGCTGATTTAGCAATTAATTAGGACCCCTAAATTAGGGGTCAGGGCTGTAGCGGCTTATAGTTTTCAGTTGTTGTCTTATAGCCCAGGTTTGGGGGGTTGCGAGTTTTTTTCCACACAGCGTTAGAGAACTTTTGAACTTAGGGCGTCGGGTGTTTGCAGTTCTGGTTTGGACGGTGCAACGGGAGGACTTAAGTGGACGACATGCTCCAAAATGCGACTCCCAAATCAGAGCAGGGCAAGTTGCTTGCGTCCTGTGCCTGTGAAGCTTGGGAGAATGAGCTGAGCAGTTCGCCGTCATCCTGCGTCTTCGTGTGCTGTGGCATTTTGGACATCGCTGCTTCGTTGTAGTTGTGAAGATAGATAGCATTGTTTCAATGTAGGTTTGCATTCTGAATGATGTTGTCCAAAAATGTTCCGAACCTTCTGGTTGTGGAAGTTATGCCAGGTTTACTTGTCAGTGTCTGTTATGACCTTGGAATACGAGGTCCAGGCTTCCTCATGTAGCCAAACAGGGACATCATTGCCAGTGATTGTGCGACAAGTATAAGGAGGTTCTAGTTATTCTAGTTCAAGGAAGCTTCCTCGCAGAGTGACCCTGGTTTGAACAAGCCTGCCTTATTTTGTCCTGCAGCCCTTCGCTTGACGACGGAAGTCGCTCAGGGGCCTCTCAACATCTTACCAGTTGCGATCGTATTCAGCAGAGGAGCCGACGGTGTTATCAGGTTTTGGAGTTTCGGATTCGGGGTGGCCGCCCTGTGCCCTGTGCTGCTTCAGTGGGTCGGTGCTTCCAGGATTCAGGGCAAGTGCCGAAGTGGAAAGATCCATGCATCTGACCCATCAAGTTAAGGTAGGGGCCTTAGTAACTACCTATACTGTTTTGGGCGTTTCTTATTAAAATTGTAGTATAATATACCCAGTCGGTACAACTCTGAGTGGGTTGCCTCGACATTGGGTCTATATGTGAGTTCCGCACGACACGCTTTCGATCTAGTTGCCGTCGTCTGATCAGTTTAAACCTTAGACCCTAAACCCTAAACCGTTTGAACCCTTCGGCCATGCCCCCTTCTCCATCCTCCTCCTGCGGAGCTTTATCGTCCTCACCCGTCCGTTGCTACTGGAAAGTAACAGTCAGCGCTTTGGGGGACATCAGCCAGACTGTGACTGGGGGGAGGCTTTGATACACACAGATCCACCAAGTTGCAGCAAATTGTAAAGTCCAAAATAGTCGTACTTCGAAGCTACGAGAAGTACTCAACATTACTTGTTCCAGTCCGAAGCCCTTGACAGGGATGTGATGTGGCGGATGTGTCTGGCAACCTTACCAGACGTGTTTCTTCGATGTTGATAGCGGTGTTCGTAGCATGGAGATCGCCAGGACACGCAATTGCGCGACGACGCAGCAATCCGGCTGCAATATGAAGTATGTGTGCGTGTGGCGCCTGTGCAGATCTGTACGTGAACATGCTGACATCTCTTGTCGCGGCTGGTCGCGTAGTCCTTGTATTTCCAAACCTTCCTGTTTACGTACCTTGTTGGCCACCTTGTCGTCCCATCATCAAATACCTAGCGCATAAGTAAAATTAGTAGCTTGCTGTGGGCTTCATCAAATCAAGCCCTTGGGACCCGTTCGGTTTCAGGGCGGCTTGTGCAGCAGCATGCTGCAAGCTTGTGGTTTGAGTGTCTCAAGCGTGTCAGAGCCTTCAGGACAACGCAGAATCCGTTGCGATTCGCAAGAGATTCTCCGACATGCAGGCACCAGAAAAGAAAGGCCCCGGAAGTCACACTAGGCGCGGGCCGTCGGGGGTTAATTAGGGTCGGAGGGTGTCTTTATCAGTCATCTTCGTACGTCTAGCCAAAAATCACCTGTGGGAGGTTGCTGCATTCGGACAGCATCCCGTGGACTACCCGCATAGTGCACAATCCGGCCTTTGATATCTTTTTCGCGATCATTGTGGTCGCCAATGCCATCTTCATTGGCTTTGACATCCAGTGGACCCTGGACGGCCGAGAGTATGCTGCGGACGTTGTGAGGACGAAGCCCGCGACCTACATGATTTTCCACTACACGTTTTCTGCACTGTTTTTGGTCGAGCTTCTACTACGACTAGCCGACAGCCGCTGTCGCTACTACTGTTCAGAAGAGTGGAAATGGGCTCTGCTCGATACCATGATTGTAGCAACATCCTTCTGGGATATTGTTGTGGATATCATCTCGGCCATGCTCAAAGACGACAGTTGGGACAGCATCTCTGGGCTGTCAACATTGAAAGCCATGCGCATTGTGCGCCTGACCCGCGTATTGAAAACTGCTCACTTCATACGAATATTTCGGTTCATCATGGCCTTGCGAATGCTGGTCCAGTCGATCTTGCACACCGTCAAAGCTTTGTTTTGGGCCTTGCTCCTCCTGACCTTGATTGTGTATGTGTTTGCTATACTCTTCTCGCAGGCAGTCTATGACTACATCAGCGACGAGGCCAATCCGGAGTTACCACCAGATGTTCAAGTGGCAGCGGAACGGTATTTTCGCAGCCTCGTGCGGAGCATGCTGGCTCTGTTCATGAGCATTGCCGGCGGTGTCAGCTGGGAAGAGGTTATTAGGCCTCTGATGTATGTCTCTGCCTTCTGGGAGGTGTGCTTCCTGTTTTTCATAGCTTTTTCGTATCTGGCAGTGTTGAACGTGGTGACAGCCGCCTCCTGGCTGCCCAGTCGGGGACACGTTAGGTATGACTACAGGGCTATATTATACATCTGCTGCACAGCATTCACAAACCGTCGTCATGTAGGAATTCTCCGGTTTCTTCGATCTTGACTTTCGCTCTCTAGACCTGGCAGTGCGTGAGATGACACCTTATATGCAGGCCCCAGTCTGCGAAGATTGCAGTTTTCATCAACATGTAACTTCTTCTAAATGGGTAGTTCTCGAAACTAGGGTCCCTTTTTGGGTCCCCAATATAGTCCGGCACCCTTATAAAAAAAGGACCCTAACATGGACCCTACAGTTTAGAAAACTGCCCAAATTCTCATCACAAACCGAGGTTTTCTGTCATGCGGCCATTGAGTCGGCTCAGAAGGATCACGCCACTGTGGTCCAGAACATGCTGGACAATAAGGCTCGCGGTTTAGGGTTTAGGGTTTAGGGGAAGGATCACACAACTGTGGTCCAGAACATGCTGGACAATAAGGCTCGGTGGCATTTGGGGGTTTCCGAAAAGAAGGGGTACCTTATTTTGGGGATCCTTGTAATAAGGATCCTACTATTTGGGGTACTATATTAGGGCCCCCTATTTTCCGAAACCCCCATTTGGTCCCAAGGTGCACTTGTAGTTATACACCTTCGCCGACCCTTGCCAAATTGGGTGTCCTTCTGATCATAGACCGATCGGGATGAGCCGGCTCCCAACAATAGGAAGACCGCATGCGAAACCCTTCGTTTCTGCAGACACGTCCGGTGCCATTGTTGTGCTCATGGATTCTTCGTGTTGTATCGGGCAGAAGCCAATGCCAATACCCTTGCCGCCTCATCCTCGACAAGTGTAGACTATCCTGTCCTCAACAGTTCTTCGTATTGCGAGCCTTCGTGCTGCCAGGCACTAATCACTCGTCCTGCCACAGGAGCAGCATCTCCAAAAGCTGAGGGCATTGTTCGAAAAGATTGGTGACCGGGGAGCTGGGGGCATTACTTACCGAGTGCCGCTGGGCGAAGGTGAAACGGAGAAACGCAGATGCTACAGTGTATATTATGCACGGAGTTCTACATACATACACATGCCACAAGTCCTTTGGAAAGATGCCCTATAGAACATAATACCTATATCCTTTACACATGCACACGTGACTGTACCTGTTACAGAGCCGCTTGATCACTTGGTGCTTAGCTTGCCGCGTTCCGCATGTTATGCGCGCTTGAATGTGTTCTACTGTGCCGATTTCATGACTCAGACATGGTCGCACGGTGGGGTTCATATGTGTTACCGGTAGTTTATCGCATGCCGGAACAGATTAGTACATGTGCTTTTGCATTCATGCATGATTACATTCATTGGCATATATCCTTGGATGGCGTCACAACACCGATGTTTTCTGTCTACAAAGCGCTGTAGAGCTGTATCTCGCTTTGGAGTTGAGATTCGCGAATTGCCCATGACATGGGCTACTCGAGAGGACAGCATTTTCTTCTCCTACTGTTCCCTACAGAGCCTACACGCTCAACCCTAAAAGCCCTAAAACCCTTAAAAGTCCCTAACAGCCTTGTTCCCTCGAGCGTACTGACGAATTTCTAAACCCTGAAACCTTAAGCCCTGAGCGGTGGCCCTGATTCACAGCCAGTTTCAGCCTTAGGTTCGAGGAGAAGATCAATTCCCCAGCAGTCCGCGACTACTTCGAGACTTTAGGTTTGGATGTGTGGGACCCGTGGTCGTTTTTCAAGAGCCTCGCCGAAATTTAGCGTTCTGGGCGGCTTGCGCAATCAAGTCTGGGGCTGAAGTGCAGGCCATAAGCCCCGAACCATGCAACAAGTCTTAAGCCGGAAACTGGTAGCGCTAAGCATGATCGCCCCCAACCCGACCCAAACCTCACAGGCTTCTGGACACCGACGGTGGCGGTGTTGTGGAGCTAGAAGAGTTCTTTATGGGATGCTTACGCTTCAGCGGCGACGCTACTTGGCAACACCCGTTGCCGCTGCGGCTCATGTTGCTGGCATAGGGCTTTAGGGTTGCAGGGTTCTCCGACTGTCCGATTCGAGGTGTGTTGCGCTGTGTGTTTGTCAGCATGCATCTAATGACAATGACGCGAACATGAGCTGCAAACGCTCCAACCCTCATGCCCTATATATTGAGCCAGAATGAGCCAGATACAAGATATTGTCTCTTGAAACAACCCTCTACCGCCAATACCATCCTGGGGTGTATGCCGTCAGATGACTTAATACAATGCCTCTATTGGGGCATGGCCGCCCCCTTTTGAAACATCAGGTGCTGTTGTTAAAGGCCCTGTACCGTCAATCCTAAACCGGACCCTAAACCCTAAACCCTAAGCCCTATACCCTAAACCCTAAAGCCCTAAATGAGACGGAACCATGCGGAGCCTTGCCGGCCTTGTGCGAGTGTGAGAGTCGAAAGCCCTAAACCCGAAACCCTAAACTCTAAAGCCCTATAAACCCTAAAAGGCCCGCAACCTGGAAGGCTCTAAGCTACACTCTCAAGCCATCAAAAAAACGTTGGCAAATTCAGGCTACAGCCATGGAGTTGGGTAAGCTGGCAGCGGACCAGAGGCTTTCGATGAAGGGTGAGGGAGGGGTTGGGATGTAAGAGGTCAGAGTTCAGGGTTTTGTGTTTGTGGTTTTAGTTTTCTTGTCGACTTACGTGGTTTTGAGGTTCTTAGGGAGGGATTTGGGGTTTGTAGATTGAGGTTCTTAGGGAGGGATTTGGGGTTTGTAGATGGGTTGACATTACATAGGTTATATATCTCTTGTAGAGCCACGGGTCAGTTTATGGTAGAGCAGCGTCCGGAGATTCAGGATCTTGCTGCTCCGGGTTTACTGTAGTTCATGCGTATTTCTTATATAATGTTATTTACATATATATATATATACATATGTATATACACACATAGCATAAAAGAATACAACATACTATGATATAGCAGGTGGTAATATGCTATAATATTTTCCGTAATGTAGTATAATGTAATATAAAGTGATAGAATGCGACATAGTATCATGTTGTATTTAATATAGTATCATGCAATATTATAATGAAACATGATATGCTTATAACGCGAATTACGGCACCTGTCCCATGATCCTCCGAGCAAACACTTGGAAAAACGTCAATCACAGCAGTTCCTCGCCACCGCCTTCCCGCACAGAAGTCGACTGTGCTCTCCAGGTGAGCCTGAGCCCGATCGCTATATGGGTAGTTCTTTGAATATAAGGACCCTTTTTAGGGTACTTGTTGTAAGGGTGCCGTACTATTTGGGGGACCTAAAAAGGGATCCTAAATAAGAGAACTATCCAAAGAGTAGAGAGTAGGGTTTCTACAGTATAAATTACTATTATGGTTTGGGTAAGCATCCCGATGGATCCGATTGCCTAAGTTGCATCATAAGATTCAACCGAACGCCTCAAACTTCAGTCGAGTGTACCATCTATACCACATCGACAGGCATTCACGCAAACTTCCCGAGCCCTGAATCGCAGAGGTGGCTGATCCGGAGCCAGGGCCGTTTCCAGAGGTTGGTGGAATCCGGGCATCAAAAGTAAAACATAAGACATGCTATCTTCGGGGGTAGGCGGAGTTCGCAGCGGATGCTAGGTTTGGGCGAAGAAGCGGCGCTCGCACCAGTTATGTTCGCAAGCATGATTGGGAGACTTAGATACGTGCCACTACGGTGGGCGAGGCGGCGTACGGCATTATGCTTGTGGGAAGGTAAGAAGGTTTTGCATACTGTTCCTGTCGCAGATGTGACACCTGCATCTTGGCATCAATCCTTTATTCGCACGCACCTAGCCCCGCCTGGTTCCGGAGAGTGTACATGTGTTTCAGCATGTGAGAAGCTGTGGGTGCTCAGGAAGCTGAACTCGTGCAGACCAGAGAGAACCTGTCAAGCTTGGTGGATGCTGTGTTCAATAGTTCGGGCAACGTCTGCTCGACTCACTTGTAAACGCCGGATGTGCAATTCGCGCATGTGGCGCAGTCTTTGAACAGACGTGGGGTTGCACACCCTGCTAAGCAGGCAAAATGGCCCCACCTTGTCACACGAAAGTGTCACTCGGCATCCACACAGAACTGCTCAACTAAGCCGGCACAGACACAGGGCTGAAACATGTATATTTATAATATGTTTATTTGTGCGCCCTTTCGCAGTTGCATGTTACAGAAAGATGTGTGTAGCGTATGCTTCATATGCGGACACACTAGAATGTAGAGAGAGAGAGAGGGAGAAACCGACAGACAGACCCACACGGACACACGCACACGTAATTACACACAGACATACTTTTACTTGTGTGGTTCGAATTCAGATACGCACATGCACCATGCCAGAATGTGTATCGCAATAAAACAGGCTAAGGACAGTAGCAAACTAGCTTGTATAACTTGTATACAGTACAAGACTATACATTGTAGGTCTATACTGATCGACAGCATCACCCATTATGCCAAAGCGGGCAGCTATAATATGGCTAAACAAGCTAAGCACTTGCAATCCAATCCGCCAACCGCGCCCGTGATTCATGAACAAGCTTTACCTGTTGCTGATGGGCAGCGAAGCCTCAATGCCTCTCATTTGAGCTCCGATGTACAGCTTATCAAAGATCAGCTGATGCTAAATGCTGCATTGAAAGGGTTACGAGACATCGGGTGTCATGTACCTACCTTCCTCGTGTCATTTTCAGGTCTGACGCCGTATCCATGTCTTTGCCGGCATATGTCCTTTTGAACGAACATCAAGGTCCGTCATACTCGGTTCGATGTGCCGAGTATCGGATGTAGTCAAAGATATGAGGCTCGGAACCGTGAGAACGGACGGAATTTCAAACAGCTGCTTGCGCGGAGTCGGTTGCCTTGTGCATGGTTGAAACGTACATACGTATATATATATATATACACATGTGTATAATATATATATATATATATGTATGTATACTATATATATATATNNTATATATATATATTTCTCTGTGTCTTTCTCTAAGCTTGCGTGAGGGGCGCAGATGACGTGCTGAAGGATAGTGTGGTGGCTCAGGATATTGCTGAGTGCTTGTTTTGTGCTCAGGCCAATTTTTTACAATGTGTTACCAAGTCACTATAGTCCCGCTGCTTGCCTCATGCTCACTACACTGCCCGCCGCATGCCAGTGGCTCTGATCAACAACCCCAACATCTACAACCCTGTCCGACTGTCCTTGCCCAGTCCCGAAAAGAAGATAGTAAAGTACTCGAGTTCCTCTTGCATGCACACTCATGGGCGACATGTCAATTCAGTAGTCCGCAAGATCTTCAACTGGGGGGGGTTGAAGCTTTGTCATTCGCTTATGCTAAGCTCAGTCTGCTTATTGTCTCATGATGGTTGTAGTACGGTAGTGTATGAATTATATGCAGTGCAACATGATGTATGATACGTAGTATAAGATGTCTAATATATAACATCTAATACATAACATACAACATATAATATTAAACCTGGGTAGAGAACCGTCAGATTCAACCTCGCTCCGTCCTTTGCGCCATGGCGTCTTCGAAGGCCAGTCTGTCAGCAGAAGCAGATGTGCAAAGTGATTGCAATCGGGTGCGGGCGGCCGGAGCGGGGTGGGGGGGGGGGGGGGGG